CCCTCCCGGCGGCGGGGGGGGTGGGGCGGGCCGTTGCATCAGAGAGGGTGCCAGCCCTCGGGGGGCACAGCTCGCCGTTTGGAAAAAGTAGGATTAGCATCCAGCGCTTTCTTCTTGCAAGACACAGAATTTTATTTCAAAGGCTGAAAAGTCACGACTAAGCTCAGAAGCAAATCAGTAATAAACTTGGGTTTGCAGAGCCCCCCCTTCAAAATGCTCCAGCAATTAGTCTCCCTCTCCAGCGACTCTGGCCCCGTCCTCCGTCCCCAACCCACAGAGAAAAGGCCCTTCTCCTCCCCAGAGTGGAGCCTCGGTGGTGGTGCCCCGTGGCAGGCACACCCGTTCTGCTTCCCCCCCAGGCAGCCAGCCGCAGGACCTCTCTTCCCCGGGTGCAAAACGCCTCCCCGACCCGCTGGCGGGCTGGGGGAGAGGGAAACTTCGATGAGGCTGACACGTCTGTGGCTCCCTGAACAAGGAACCCTTGGATCAGGGAAGGCGAGCGCACGCATCGCGATATGCGCTTCTCCTCCTGCCGCCCCACATCGGTGGCTGCTGAAGCCAGAGCAGGCACGTGCCTCGAGGGAGAAGGCTTGGGGAGCCGGCTGGAGCCCCCGGGTGGTTTTGGGGTCGGGCAGCCGCCGGGGGTCAAATACTGAAACTGGCCTTCCATCACGCTTCGCGGGTGGTGTCACGGACTGCCCTGCGGAGGAGGCCTGGCGCAGAGAGGTAGACCCTCCGCGTGGCTCGGCTTCGCTCCTCCGCGGGAAGCCGGGCCGGCTCTCCCCACGCGTAGCTTTGTGGGCTACGACAGGCTGCTGTCAGGGGAGAGAGACGCAAGAGGTGGTTTGCATTTTTCCAAAGGTCTGGTCTTGAAGAGACATTAGGCGAGCCCGGAGGCCGGAGGCACAGCAGAAAAAATTTGGCAAAGTCATACAAAGAAGGGAGCTCGTGCTCCCAGCCCCAGAGGCCCGGAGCCGCCCGGAGCCGCTCAGAGCCGCTTGTGGACGCCCAGGTAGGCGTTGCAGCAGGGGCAGAAGTGCTCCACGTCGAGCATGGCCTCCACGCAGAAGGGGATCAGGCAGCACCCCAGCCAGCACCTGCAACGC